ATGAAGGAAAATGAGTAAATTATTATTTTAAGTACATCACAAAAATTTTCTTGTTAAAAATCTTGCCAAAAAAATCAATGGGCCAAAATTTTAGTGAAGAAAAAAGAATACAATACGTCTTTACTCTGTCTCATGATAATATCACTTAAATTATGTTTCAAACATATTAAATCCTTTATGGATGACATCAATAGTCATACCAAATGAGTTGACTATAATATGTTTTAAATTTCATGCATCATCAAGATAACATGATACAGATTCATGGTTTCATCCACCATGATCTTTGCGAATTTTACTATATTGAGAGTCGTGCATTGCATATGTTGACTTTATTTCCTCATTTTCTTTTCGCATAAGCTTACACATTTAGACTTTGCACTGAAGGTTTAGAAACTCAAGTTTCTCTAGTAAATTCAATTTAAGATTGCGTTCCTTTTATTTTGACTAATCATTACTTCGATCAATGTATTTTGATTATTTGCTATATGATGTAGTACATGATGTGTAGAAGTTTTGTCGACAATTTTTTCTTTTCTTTTCGATTCTATTATTTTCTATAATAACATAATTCATTGAGATATCTCAATTATCAACGTATGAGTACATAAACCTCTTCTGAAATTTTATTATTTGTTATGTTTAAATACTCATCAAAAGTATCTAATCCATCAATGGAATCATTTTTGTTAAATGCTCTATTTTTGTTTGAAGTTTCTTTTATTAGAATCGAATATTATCACGCTTCATACATATCATAAATTTATCAAATATAATATTAATTAATTGTCCTCCATAACGTTAATTATAGTTGGAACATTTAAAATTAATGTGTGAAATATTGTTGTTCTCTTTGATCATTAAATATATCTAAATGAGATATCATTTCGATTGTCTTTTTGTGAGGAGTTAGATAACGATGCATTTTTACATTATTTTCAACTTTTTAATTACTCTTCCTAATACGGAGAAGAAAACAGTTCAATTAAATTGACAGTCAATTACCCACATTATAAATTATTACTCATTAGGGTTTAAGATATTTTATAAGGGTGAAAACTAAATTTGGATTTTTCGTCATTCTTTTTTATATATACATATATATATGGCTATGTTTGAGCCACATACACACATTTTTAAACAATGATTTGACGTCATTTCAACCACACATTCTTCAATAAGATAATATTACACGCAAATCTAAAACTTAGTATAATGCTTAATAGCATTCTCTAAACAGAAATTAAAAATACTTTGTTCTCAATAGTAATTGTTAAGAAATTAATTTGAAGTACTTAACAAATAATTTATTGATATTCCAACTAACACTTATTAAAATGTTGAGATTTAGCCCCATTTGGTACTCAATAAATTTCATTCCATTTTTCGCTTTCATATTTTCAACCACACAATTTTTATAAAATAATATTACACGTAAATCGAAAATTTTTCCTTCCTTTTCAACCATTTATTTTTCAAAAAAAGACAACGCATTTTCATTTTCAAAAAGTGGGGGTCAAACAGGAACTTAATCTCACTAGTATTAACAAGACACATCGTCTTGATTGTTTAATCTGAAAATTATGCTCATAATTTAACTTTTGAGCAGAAACTTCACAATCTTCAAGTTGTGAATACCATGCAATCATCTAGTAGATGTATCAAATTCATATATACAAATAATATTTAGATGGTCAATATGAAAGGTGATGGGGTCCCATATATTATCCTAACTAATTTTTAGAAATATAGGGAATTCAATTCATATTTTAACTAATGATGGTCAATGACTTTCAATAAAGAAAATAGATAACATATAGGAATTCACTGGGTTAAATAATCTTCTATTTCTTTGTTAAATGTCCATTTGAATTCTCATTTCATATTATTATTAATCCAGTGATCGTATAACTGGACGTCTCACACATAAAAAATAAGAGTTTTTGAACTGCTAGTTCAAAAAAATGTTTATCAAAATAGTCACCAGAGTTTAGTATAGTGTTCCAATTAAGAATTACAAATTAATATTTATATAGGTTTCTCTTTTATTTAGTGGGGAACAAATTACTAACAATAGTAAATTTGTCCATTCTTACCACACAACATTGACTTTTCTGGATTCTCAAAACAATATTTTTCATAAATATTGATATAAATAAACTAATGCTTCTTTATAAGCAATTTAATTAAAAGTTTGATTCTCTAAGACCAATACAATATTTATATTGAAATATTGAAATTGTGATCTTAAAAAAAATAACAACATAATATTTTTTGAGAATATTAATAAATATAAAATTGTGCTTCTTTCAGAACAACACAATATTCTTCAAGAATAATGATTTTTATTAATTGATTCAAACAATTTTGCAATTTTCCTCTTGAATATTTAAAGATCTAAATTGTGTTTTGTTCCAAAATAACAACTGATTATTCTTATAGTAAATTTATTTAATATAAAAATATGCTTCTTCTGGAGCAATAAGTCAATATTTTTCTAGAATATTAAAATTGTAATATCATACTATTTAGGAGTAAATAATATTCTTTTAAAATATAAATAATGTTGTGCTACATTGTGAACAACAACGAACTATTAATTAGAAACGTTAACTCTTTATGAGCATATTTTCTAATAGAATGTTAATATTTACAAATTTACACCTATTTGGAAGCAACAATGAAATACATTATCAATTTAAGAATATGAAAAAGAATCTAAAAATTGATTGGACTCATAAACTGATGAAATAGTTTTAATTAATTTAATATAGTTTAGTAGTGGCGAACATCAATTAAAATATCTAACTGATTAATCAACTTATAATAATTATACAATCATGAATGACAAATAGCAATGCGTTATGGCCAACCAAGTTTAATGTTAAAATTCGAATCACGTGTAATCAGATTGATTAATCTGTGACGTGATTACATGTATATATAAAAATATTGTTACCTTCTTATATGACTAGTATGCGGCAGCATGATTATATAATAATAATCGTCCCCAAGATATATCTCGGTGGCGCAAAGGACAGGAGTTAGGTAGTTTCAGCCTTGCTGGCAATTGCAGTGTGAGGGTTCGATTCCAGATATGTGAAATCGGACTTTTTGTGGGTACCAGTGTACAGGCAAACTCTTATTCCCTGGGCTGTTGAGGTACATCTCACGATTTACCTCCCTCACGATGCTCCAGGAACGGGACAGTGAAAGCCCTCAAAATTGGGGTTCAATTGATTATATAATAATAATCTTTTAATGCAATTGAAGAAGAAGAAGGGGGGCCGCGGGGAGAGAGAGAGAGAGTTGCATGATTTGTATGTAGCAGAATGGTATGCGGTAATTGAGTACGAAAAGAATAGTATACAGTTGCCTGACGATTTGCAAATAAAGGTAGCCTCTTGATCCATGAATCAATTGATTGGGGGTAGATTCAAGAGACTGAATAATATAATGCATATGTATCAAAAATAAAAATAAAAATCACACATCATCAAATTAATTTTAGTAGATGTGGCAGATGATTATACTTATGAAAATTATTGGCTTCTATATAATTTACTTTGATTTTGAGATAATTTTGCTAAGAACGTGTTATAAACTAAAAAGGAAGAAGAATAATAAAAAAAATCAATAGATTTGTGTGTATTTGATTGAAAATCAGAGTCTCATATTTATTAGGAAGAATTAGAGATAAAATGATAATAAAAATTAAGATTGTAGACATATAATTTTCATTCACTAATAAATATATAATTTACAACCGTGAAAAGATTAAGTAAAATGACAAATTATTACAGGTTGAGCATTTCATTTTTTGGGCTGGCTTTTACCCGGGCCTAACCAGGGGAGCCCATAAAAGGGTTCACCATGTTGATAGGAATAGTGTGATTACAGTTAGGGCCTGTTTGAAAGCACTATTTTCCATGAAAATTTGTGTTGTTTGATACACTGAGTCTATAGATATAATTTTATTTTTTTTTTGACAAAAAGAATCCTGAACTTAATTGTTATTTTCTTTTGCTTCAAAACAAAAATATTGCTAGTAATTAAATTTAAAATATTTATTGTAAAGTTATTTAAGATAGTTATTAAACCAACCTAATATCTTAGTACGACAGCAACTTGATATAACGTTTGCGCAATTATGTTTGGGATACAATTTTGATATTACTTAATCCTTGTTTGAGTTTTTTTTTTTTTTTTGTACGATTAAAAAGTAGCTAAAAAAATAATTTTCCCTTTTAGGATTATATAGTTGAAAATGAATGTGAAAATAAATTATTTTTGATTAATCACTTAAGACCAGAGCTTGGAATTGAATTTTATATCAATTGATCAAACCTTTTAAGAGGACAACAATTACGGGAAAGTAAAAGGGTTGGGTCAAAAATCTAAATAGAATGTGAAAAAGGATATTAGTAAAGTTAAAAAAATGCACATTTTTCTTATGTTTGGCGCCGCAAAGATAACATTAGACGCCAGCTTAGAATGGGAGCTGTGGAATTTTCCTAAAAAGCACGTGTAATTTTAGTTTGAGAGAATCTAATTGTGGATATAACCAGCATATTCTTTTCAAATTTCAATTAACAAAGCATATTCTTTTCAAAATACAATTCTTTTATATTATTCTACTTAGGGAAATTTTGAAAATAAGAATTCAATAAAAAAAATTAAGAAAATAAATATTATAAACCCCATGTTATCCATCTAATTATACGTAGCTCAATAATTAAATCCATATCTCCCATCTAATCAAGACAAACTAAATGTCATGCATGACGTGACTTGACTTTTAATTTTATGGTACTATGGCAAAGGTAGGTTAGCTCGGATCAAATTTTTTTCGATGACACAACCTCACGTACTTATCTTAATGAAAAAGATAACACCTGACTTCGAATTATCGTAGGAAAAATATATGGACTCATAATAAATTATAAGAAATGAGATGAAAGATAATAATTATGATATTAAATTTCAATTGAGAAATTACAAATTTTAATGCCCAACCTACTTAAATTTCTTAATTCATGAGATACTCTTCAAGAGTTCAATAAAATATGAAAATGTACCCAACAAGCACAAGGGGGTAATTTTGTCCTTTTAGATGGATGCCCTAACCCAACCCCACACCCTACTCTAAAGGCTAAACCAACCAACCCAACCCCACACCCTACTCTAAAGGCTAAACCAACCAATGAATCACTTCCATCACAAGGTTCCCTTGCAGCACTACTTTCACAGGAAATCTAAAGCCAAAATGTTAGCCCAAAGAATTCCATGTATTTACAAAATTAACCCCAGAAATATCATTCCTATACAAATTCACCCCTACTCTTCATAAGTTTCACATTTCACTGCCTAAACCCCAAATTTCCCGTGAGGGTCGGGTGCCGAATCCCGAACGGGTCGAGCGAGTTGGAGAATCTCTGAGCGTATGCATTAGCATTCTGTGGAAAGAACCCAGAGTTATTGTCGACTCGCTGAGTTCTGATTCCACTCTCTACTTCATCATCCCCAATGAAAAAATGACCAGCCTGTGGCACAGCAGGGGCATACATGTCATTTTGACCATGGATGTCCTCCATCTTAAGGTTGTTGACTTGTCCATGAGTCTGACTCGGCTGAGCTTGACCAGGTTCAAGCAACGAGTTAAGATTAGCTGGATTGGCCCAGTCAAAATTCCCAGAGCCCAACTTTTGAAGATTGACCTTTTGATCCTCTTGTTGAAATGTCCTCAATGAATTAATTCTTGGAAGAGAGAAAAAGCGGTCATCAATATCTGGTAAAGCCTGCAAAACGTCGTCGTACTGTGATGAAGATGACGACGATGAACCATGGCTATACTCTTTGCTCTGCAGCATGCCAGAATCTGCTGGCTTCTGTCCACTTGAATTCTTCTTGTAAATTCGACACAAAACCCATTCATCCAACTACATAAAACAAAATATACAAAACCACCCATTAGCATAACAGCGTAAAAAACAAAAAAAGATTTTAACTTTTTTCGCAGTCAAACTTACCCTTGTGCTTCCATTTTTCCTTGGGGATTCAAAGAGTCTATATTCATGCATAATCCAATTGGTTTTGGTTCCTTTAGGTGCTTTTCCTACGTAAAACACGAGGGCTTTTTTGATACCAACTTTCCTTCCTTCTGAAGTAATAACCTTATCAGTGCCCGTGGCTTTCCAATATCCAGAACCCGCCACTCTATTTGGCCTCGATCCATTTGGGTACTTTCTGTCTCTGGGACTGAAAAAGTACCATTCTTTTTCTCCGAAGATAGCTTTTCCTTCAAAGAAACACGCAAGAAATCAGAAATGAAATAATAAATATGAATTATAAAGTGAAGAGTTTCAATACTTACTGGGAAGATCCCATGGATCAAATTTATACAAATCAATATCTCCAATGATTTGCAAGGAAAAATGGTGGCCAGCTATTTTCCTGCATAAGTATTGCACCATGAGCTCTTCATCGGTCGGGTAAAACCGAAAACCCGGTGGCAAACTCAATTGTGAAAGAGGATCCATTTCTTGAATACCCATAACTTTCAAATGATTTGCAGCAGCTTTTTGACAGAGGAATTAACAAATTGCTATTATTTCCGAAACCTCTTTTCTCCGAAAACAGAGATCTGGCTGTTATTTATAGAGGATTTTAGAGTAGAAAAAAATTAGAGATAAGCACGGGTGTCGTTTTCGGAGTGTCCAAACATGGGTCCCACAAAGTTTTATCCTTGTTTGAATGCTGCCACGTTATTGTGTGTGGCGGTGAAGCCTTGGACCAAGTGCATGAACCATTGGGTGAATAAAAAAGCTTCTCACACGTGTTTTTTAATTTTTTTCTCACATTAACTTCTACGAAAATTATAGAATCGACATCACTGATTTTGTCTGTATTGAGGTACCACACCATGTTTAATGTGTGACTCGGTCGATTTGTTATTTAGCCCCGTTTGCCTACCATTCTTTTCTTGTTAAAATAAAAAATATAATCGTTATTCATCACATCAAATCATCATATTTGAATTTCTATATTTTGTGTGAAATTCGTAATAATTATATTTTTCATTCCTATTTCTACATAAATAGGAAACAAACGCGGCAAGTTTGCATAGGTAAAATATTTTCACATTTTAAAATCCAATGATTTAGGGTGATGAAAAAAAAATTATAAATTATACTCGATAGACTAGACCAAGTGATGGCTAGACCATAAATTAAGGGAAGTCTAAGCATGGTTGTGTCTCAAACTCAATTAGCTAGCTTGGTTAAGACGAGAATTTACGGGAGTCAAAAAGAAAATCTTCATAAGAATAATTCTTAAAATAAGATCAAATTGACACGTCAAAAATCAATTCACTCTATTATAAATTTTCCAAATAGATCTTGATTTACAAGTAATGCAATCTACTCAACCTTGATGGTATGTCCAAAAATTCACTTCAGTCATTATACTAAAAAAAAAAAAAAAAAATTATTTGTGATTTATAAGTAAGATTATTAGGAGTATATTGAGTTCAACGCAACCTAACAACCCTCAAGTCGACACTAATATAATTTAGAGTCTATTAAGAGATAGTTTATAGAATCATAAGCGATTACATAAATTTGTCAAATGCATAACGTAGAGCACGCGTAAACCATCTAAAATTAAAATGGTTATAACAACTCATTTACTCGTATAATTGATTATAATTATCTCCTCATATATATCATACAATTTTTATTTTATATTAATTTGACTATTAGGATCCTAATTACTACCACTTTAACTTCGGCACATTAATGTTCACTAATTGACGTCTTACTTTTTATAACATATTAATTATTAGACTTTAAGTGAGTACTAATTAACTATTTTTTTTTCAAGTTTAATTAAGAATTATATAAGCCAACATTTTATAAAGGTTGAACCCCAATCTTAAGGGCCCCCACCGTCCCACCCCTAGAGCTTTGTGAGGGATTTAAATCGCGGGATGTGCCCCAATAAGTCAGGGAATAAGAGCTGTCTGTACACTGCGCCTATAAAGAGTCCAATTTCATATCTCGGGAATCAAATTCCCACACTGCGGTTACTAGTAAGGCGTGAGATAACTTCACTCCCATTCTTTGCACCACTAAACTATGTCCGGAGGGCATATAAGCCAACATTTTAAACACTTGGATTCAGGAGAAAAAGGAGATTACACTTATTGAGGAGAAGTAACTTTCAAGCGTGAGTAAAAAACACGTCGGCACAAAAGTGGGTGGTGTGTAGTACACGTGCAAACACGTGTACATAGAAAGGGGGAATCGTCCAGAGTTAGGCAGTATTTTTCAAAAGAAAGGATGGAGAAAGCCAATATAAAACGAAAAGGAAAAGCATAATAATTGGCATCGCAATATTTCGACACGTTACCATTTTATTTTTTTTACTTTATATTTGTATTTTTCTTAAATTTTTTGAGGTTTCTTTCACTCTACAACTTCTGGGCTTGACTAATGGCCATATCTCTAAGCTGTAATCCTCTTTGGGTCAAAGATTGAATGGGAATTGGGATTTTAGGGTTTTGTTTGGGTTGTTTTTGTACTTATGCACACGTGTTGGTCTATAATTTATTGTATTTTTGGAATGGGGCTTAATTTGAAATGTTTGGTTGGTCAAAAGAGCACGTCTCAGTTTTTGAGGCTGAGATTGTGACAAGTTTTATGGGATTTGAAGTTTGCTGTCATGTAATGAATCATTGGATGTAAGATACTTTTATAATATCAAATAAAAGGTTGAACCCCAACCTTAAGGATTTTCCATCGTCCCGTCCAGTCCCGTTTCGTCTCTAAAGTATCGTGAGAGAGGTTAATCGCAGGATGTATTCCAACAAGTCAGGGAACAAGAGTTGTATGTACATTGTACCACCAAGACTCTCAATCCATATTTTAGGAATCGAACTCTCAAACTACGACTGTCAGCAATGTTGAATATATTTCACCCTTATCCTTTGCACCACTGAGATATGTCCCGAGAGCACTTTTATAATATCAAATAAATTATATTTTTGATGGTTTTTGTTGTTCGAATATTCGATAGTAATATACTTTGGTATTTCGTACATTATAATTTTGTATTCTACCACAAGCAATATTCGATATTATTTAGGGGGTTTTTGACAAAGTTTTTGCTAACAAAATTTGACAAGTTTTGATAAATGCGATTTTAAAAAAATCAGTACATGTATTGTTAGTGTGAAAATTATACAGTATCAACGTAAAAGCCTAAAATTTTGTATTTTTCTAAACAACATTAGATAAATATTTTATATCATCTTAAACATTTAATGTAGTATAGCATGTATTTTTATAATACACAGAGATTTATTACTGTGTAGAGACGAGTTCCATAAGATGGAACTTGGTAAAATTATAATTTATAGTAATTTGGAGCTTATTATTATTTATAAAAGTTAGAACCAAAAATTTTATAATTGTATGTAACAACTATCTTAACCAAATTCTACCCAACGTTAATCGTTTAAACAAATACAATTATTTTCGACTGTGTATTCCAACCTCGATGCATTAAACTAGATCACAGAATATCACCTGATTTAAACACTATATCGATATCGACATGAAAAATGAATATATTTCAACTGAACTAAAAATAAATATTTGAACATCTACTATTTTAATTTTGATCATAGCTCTACAAGTAAACTCATAGCACTAATAAACTCTGAGTGTGAATGTGGTTATTGTAGAAAATGGACGTCAAATATAATAATGTAGGTCAAATATAAAGTTGTACCTAACAAGAAATTTAAATAAAATGGGTGAGCTGCCTCATTTATCCGGCACGTGCATATTTCATTATAAACAAAACGTCACGGTTTGCTCAATGCATACTCAGAATATTCTTATTTATTCTTTAAACTAATTGTTTATTAAAAATTAATAAGTAGTCATGAAAAAGGAAAGAAAGTGAAAATCTATTCGATAAATTCGTTGGAAACGTCAAATTGTTTGAATGAAAATAGCAAGGAAATTAAAGAATAGATAAAGGAATAAGCTATTTGGATAATCGAAAAGGAAGAGTTGTAAAGTCTTTCTTAATTGAGTGATCAATATGTGGAAAAGCACTTTAATATTATTATTATTTTATTCGAGAGGATATTTAAAGACCATCTAAACTCCATGTATAAGTACTTTGCTTCATATAAAAATATTATTAGTCACTCAATTTGTTGTGCTTTCTTAATTTAAGGAACGGTTCTTATTTTTATTTATTTATTTATTATTATTATTATTATTTTTTTAAGTTTAAGCTTCTCTAAAAGTGCTCAATTGTACTTCTTTAATCACAAAGAACATTTGGCAAGGCTTTCACTACTGAACTGAGGAGGGTTGCACAAATCCCTCATTGTAGGGGGTCGGGCCCCACATCAATTTTTAAAAAAAGGTGGGGGTGGTCTCTCACATCTGGGAGGGGCCTGTGAACCAAGCCCTGTACCTCCAGCATTTTTCTTCACTATTACTTCTACTTTTAGTAGAGGAGTTTTTCTATTAAACTACATTCAATCGGTTTTATTTAAGGGCGAATTTGACTGTGAACATAAAATTTGCATGAAAAATAAATTTTTGGGAATTCAATTGTCTAGAACTTATTTATATGAAAATTATTAATAAAATATATTTGATTGATTTCGTTTTCAACATAGAAAATATTATACTTGTCTATTTTTTTTATTTGTGGCTAGATGAAAGATGGGGGATAAATGAGAGGGAGAAAGAGTGGGCGAATTAACTGAAAAATAAAAACAATCCCCCCATAAAGAAAATGTTTCCTTTGTCTTTTAGGAAAATATGACCATGTGAGCAAAAATTGAAAAATACTTTTCGTGAAAAAAATTGTCAATCAAACACCACAAAAGTACGAATTTGGGTGGAAAAATACCAATTTCCATTCCATGAAACTTATTTTACAACTTCTGAAAATATATCTAGCTTTCCTTGTTTTGAGGTAAATATTTTCTTTGAGGGGAGGTGGGTTTTTGTTTTCTTCAAAACAAGGAAAATGTTTTCTTTCCTAGGAAACATGTTTCATATTAGTCAAACACACCTTAAAAGTTCTTTTAGTTAGACAATTAAATTTTAGAAGACTATTTATACATATTTGGATGCAGCATCTTAGTTTCAATTTTTAACTTTTCGAAAACCTTACCAAACGTTCACTAAATAACTTCAAACACGCACACTTAGTCCAGAGTGCGAATGCTCAAAAGAATGCCTTGAGAATCTATCGATAACCATTAAACGTGTGTTTGGCTCCCATTCTTTTCAATTTTTTTCACCCATTTTCATAAATTGTAGTCTCCACGTCTAGAACTGGTGATTCAATTTTCACTTACGGCTGCCTTTTTGGCCTTTTCCTTGGAGTGGCCCACATAAAATTCACCCAATGTTCCAAAATTACCATTGACATGTTATCAATGGACTTGGCTTGGTGAGGGTAATTTAGTCCAATCAATTTCCAACGCTCCAATGGGTAACCTGAAGTCTGACACTACAGTTAAACTTTTGCATTGTTTATTAATTGTTTACTGTAGATTAATGAGATTTTGAAAAAAAAAAAAATTTAAAAAATGGCGAGAATGAGGG